TACTCAAGTGATAAATATCTCACATTAGCAAAAAATGTGTGCTTTGCTTTGAGTCTGTTCTCTGTACTTAGAACCACTGAATGCATGAACCAAATAACATGAGATATTTAACCTCGTGCATATTTAAGTGATTTTTAGGGATGCTTTGTGCACTAGCGGGTGGGCAAAGTAATTTTAACCAATAATACAATGTTTTCGCTGCCTCTCACCATCCCACTGCCATTGCCCTATATAATGTTTGGGACAAAGGCACTTTTTTGGTCTTGTGAACAGATGAGACCAACGTAACATGTATACGAGTAAAGGCAAAAGCTAAGTGTGGAAGTGAAAACAAACTGCCTAAGATCCAAAGCAAACCACCTCATCTGTGAAACATGGCGGTGGTAGTTTTAAGCCCTGGGCCTGTTTGGTTGCCTCAGGTACTGGCTCACTCATCCTTATTGATGATATACTTTGTATGCAGAGTCTGCTCTCTGCACTTAGAACCACTGAATGCATGAACCAAACAACCTGAGATGGTTAACCTCGTGCACATTTAAGTCATTTTTAGGTATGTTTCGATTGGAATTCTGGGCCAGTGCCAATATCCCATATTTTCACATCCATATACACCACTGTGCAAAGGCAGAGGACCACTCTTGCTTTAGATCTATGTGGGCCCGAAAGGATGCACAGCTGTCAACAAGTCATCACTGAGAAAATGAAACTTGTAAATCAAACAAAAAAGCTGCTGGTGTTCTCAGAACAACAGACTGACCACCCCAGAGTCCTCAGTATCACTGCATGTGTTTGGGATTACTTGTATTGTGAGAAGCAGAAAATACAACCAACTTCTAAGACTGAACTCTGGAGGTGTGGACAAATATCCCCGTTTAAAAAACTGAAAAGTGAGTTGTCTAAAAAAAATAGACTGAAACTGAAAAGTTTCACATTATATAGTTGTTGATGCTGTGTAGTTTTCCGTTAAATAAAAGTCTATTCATTTTCCTGAGACTGTATATAACTTGTAGCCATTTGCTTGGAAATGAAATTAAAAAAGGGTGGTCTCTGACTTTTGAACCATACTGGTTCATGCCTGTCTAGGATGTATGTACAAAATGTTGGAATTGGGACGAGCTGCATTTTGATGAGCATTTGATGAGCTCAAAATAAGAATAAACCACAGAAAGTTGACATCTGTGTATTTTTTGTTCTACTATGATACTTTCTTTTCTATTTTTTTATTACTTATTGTATCGACATCTTAAAGGAGGGAAAACTCTTTTTACATTTATGATAAATCATAATAAGATTAATGAAACTCATAAACTCATAAAACATTAAGTGATCTTAAATCCAAAGTAAAAGGGTAACATATAATCAACATATAAAGAATATCATTTCTACATATAGCGTGACTTGGAAACAATGGCAGTGGACTATTTTTTAGGAATGTTCAGATTTTAGCAATTATATCCACTGATCATAACACCACTGACAAAACGACTAGGTTTTACACATACAGTTTACAAATACTTAAGCAAGGCAAGGCAAGTATATTTATATGGAACTTGGTGGTCATACGTAGTGGCCATTTAAAGTTCTTTAAAAATAAGAAAATACAAAGATAATTAAAATTAAAATTTAAAAAGATGTAGGAAAATAGAATTTGAAAAACGTTAATTAAATTGTGAAAACACTCTCCATCACTCTGTGGTGTTCTCCTGCTGTAGAGAGGTAAACTAAGCCCTATCAATGAAATACTCCCAAAATTTGATGCGACACCAGAAAATCCTGCTTATATTGTACAGATATGCTTCCGGTGCACAGCAAACCAAAACATCTCACACATAATCACACTGTCCCAGTAAGGCTAGAGATAAATAATCAAAATAAGAAAACAAAATGTGAAACATTTCTCCTGTACGCAATAGCAATGCTTGTAAGAATATAAAGAAAAGGAAGAATAATAAGAGCATGTGGCTCAAGAACTATTATCGTGTAAAACGCAGAGATGGTATTGTTTATAAGCTCACTGTGAAACAGCTCTACAACTAATGAAAATAGATTTAAAAAAAATGAAATTAATCATCAAATTAAAAATCAAATTAAAGATTAATTTAGGATAATAAAGTGCCATTATGGGAGAGAACTGCAGGGTTTTAAACTGAGCTGAAAGCATTTAAAAGTGTCCACTGTCGGGTGTCTTCTGATGCTCTCTGTCAACTGGTTCCATTTAAGAGCAGCGCAGTAGCTAAACGCTGTTTCTCCATGTTTATTCTTCACCTTCAGCAGGACTAAATGACTAGTTCCTGATGATCTGAGAGTTGCAGCATGTCAGATAAATATGATAGTCCTACACCATTAAGTGATTATAGACCATTAATAGTAACTTAAAGACTGGTAGCTAGTGCAAGGATTTAGGAAAGGGGGTGATGTGTTCCCTCTTTTACTCCAAGTGACCCCCTGGTAGCTGCATTCTGAATCACCTGAAGCTGTTTGTCTTTTTTGCGAGTCCAGTTAGGAGATCATTACAGTGATCAATCCGGCTAGAAATAAAGGGCTGGATGAGCTTCTCCAGGTCTGCTTTAGTCAGAAAATCTCCAATCATGTTGATGTTCTTAAGGAGATAAAATCCTGATTTAGTATCTCCTTTGGCATGACTGCAAAAACTGAGATCACCCAAGGTTCTAGTTATTTAGATTTTAGGACTCTCAAATCCAGACAGGTAGCGCATCTGTGCCTCTCATTGCTGTTCCCGAATGAAATAATCTCTGTTTTATCTTTATTCAACTGTAGAATTACACATCAATGGTTGTACTTCGCATTGCCACCATAATGGGAGAATTACACAAAAGTAGCGTAAAAGCAACCTGCCAGTAAAAGCGCGTTCCTGCCCTGCTGTGCTATTTTTTGGTGAATGCTGCACATTTTCTAATTTCAGACTGTCATCGACAAACAAGGGAGCAAAAGACACAAATCACATCCACGCCTGTTCTTTTCACAGCATCGGCGTACAGCGCAGAGCCAAGCAGAATCAGGAAATGCAACTGCTGCCGATCATCTGCATGTTCCACTTTAGCCATCGCCTCCAACCAACAACACCAAGCCTAATCGAATGAAGCTGTTTACATTTTCTCAGCCAGCCTCAAGCTGTGGCACACTAAATGACCACAGGAGCAACTTAGGACTTTTTGTTCTTTTGCTAAATATCTTTCAAAGTATTTATGCAAGATTAATTCTTCTTGTAGACAAGCAACCTACACATTAAACTAGACAGATGCTCTGCTACAAATTACAGTATAATTTCTGTTTTTAGTACTCATATGTAGGGTGAATTTAACAAGTGGAGAGACTAATTGTAAGTCCATAAAATTGATGTAAAACCTAAAATATTTAACACAATTTCTTGTTGTTTGAAGCAGACAGGCTTTTTAACCTAAAAACATAAAATTCTTTTCATAAGAATACATATGGTTAGTTAAAAGAGGCCACGCATGGCACATTCATTGTTGCTGTGTTGATGAATCTGTGCATAAAACCGTCCAAAAAATGACTCTTTTAAGTTTATATGGGGATTTTTATTGCCATCTCTCATTATTTACTTTAGGAGGCTTAGTTGTATCACTTCCCACCCATGTGGAGGCTGCACTGTAGCCCGGCTAGCTCCCACTGTGAGTTAATTACATGCTCCAAAATGGTGTTATATTATAGCCACTAGGAGGGAGATTAAAGTAATATAGGTGTTACCTCAGTGACTTCCACACACAGCTGAGTAATTAAAAAATACTAATGATAAAAAAGGTTGTAGTACAGTAACAGTTTATATTTATAATATATATAAAAAAAAACATCTTTAGAGTGAATATGGAGAAATTTCTGTCAGATTGCTTTCAAAATTGACAAAGGGGAGTACAAGACGACCCAAAGCATGTCCCACTTAAACTTGTTTAACTATATAAAATATCCATGATACACTTAACCCCATGCTCCCTTTTAGGTAGTCCAAAGTGGTCACCCAACCTGCTCCTGGATACCTGCACAGTTCCAGCCCACATCTTACAGATCTGATCTTCACCATCAATGACTTCCAAAGAGATCTATTCTCTGGACCAGACTGGGAAGACTATAGGGTTCAAAGGAATGTGAATTCCCAGCATCATATTTGATCACCAGTCCTGTCTACTGTATGAAATGCAAACTTGCTGATGATGCTTCTTATGGTGAGGCGGATGGGAAGCCTGTGTTGTTTTGACCCAAAAAGGCTAATGCTCAACAAAACCCAAAACAAGCAAATGTTTGCTCTATTCATTGCAGCTGCCTAATCCCTAATCATTTGGGGCAATTTTTAAATCGACTCAGGAAAAAAATTAACAGTCTGACCTTGCTGGAGAATAAATGCGCTTCACAGTGGGGCGCAAGAACATGTTATTTTTCAAGTAGCCCAATTTCATAACTACCTCTTTATAGCCCGTAACACGGCCCCATGCTGGCACTGATTATGTCCCAGTGGTGCTTTCAAGCGCTGAGCTGTCTGCCTCAAAGTTCCCTCTCCATCACTCTGTGGTGTTCTCCTGCTGTGGAGAGGTGAACTAAGCCCTATCATTGAAATACCACCAATATTTGATGCAACACCAGAAAATCCTGCTTGTATTGTATAGATATGCTTTCAGTCCACAGCAAAACAAAACGTCTCACTCATAATCACACTGTCCCAGTTAGGCTAGAGATAAATAATCAAAATAAAAAAGCAAAATGTAAAACATTTCTATTCTATGTGGCGGAAATGGTTGTAAGAATGTAAAGAAAAGGAAGAATAATAAGAGAATGTGGCTCAAGTACATTTATCAGTGTGTAAAAAGCAGAGATGGGATTATTTATTATTTATATTGTGAAATAATTCTACAATTAATGAACAAAACTATCATTGTTTTCAAGTCAAATTCTTTCAGATGAACTTCATCAGGTCCACAGTGCTGGTAGAGAAGAATGCCCTGCAGGTTAAGAGTCTAAAAACTCACCTGACACTCCACACAGCAGGATGCCAACTATGGAGGTTTGCATGGAGCTGCGAAATTGAACGAACTGAAGCCCAAAGTCCGAGTCTAACAGCGGTTCGCTGACTCTCCCCGTCTCGCGCTGGAGGAGCTGAGTCTAAACACCACCGCGTTAGCGGCAGTTTCAGAGAGCTGAGCTGGAGTTCCGCGTGTCCGCACACACCGATGCTCCGTCAGTGAATGAGAGAGTGAATGAGTAGAAGAATGAATGACCGGCGCTCGCGCACACGCGGCCACAGCGGTTCTGCTGCTCTCCAGAGCGCGCATACGGCTTTTTTTCCGCTTATTTCAATAAGCCACGCCCCCACCCCTCCCCCCGGTGATAGGATTGGCTAGTAGTGGCTTCATTCCTGATCTGGGATTTTCTAGGATAGGGTTAAAGTGTGACAGTTCCTGAGCTATGATTGGTTAGGGGTGACTCGGTTCCTGAGCTGGGATTAAGTAATAGTGTCTCAATTCTTGAGATGGGATTGGGTAATAAAATGTCAGAATTCCTGAGCTGGGATTTGATAATGGAGCATTTTTATTCCTGAGCTGGGATTGGGTAATAGTGTATCTAAATTTCTAAAATGGCATTCAGTTATAGAGTGTTAAAATTCCAATGGAGTATTTAAATTTTTGAGCTGGGATTGAGTAATAGTGTCTCAATTCTTGAGATGAGATTGGATAATGGAGTATTTAAATTCCTGAGATGGGATTGAGTAATAGTGTCTCAATTCCTAGAAGGGATTGAATAATAGTATCTCAATTCCTGAGATAGGTTAGGGTACTAAAGTGTCAAGATTCCTGAGCTGGGATTGGATAATGGAGTATTTAAATTCCTGAGTTGAGACTGGGTAATAGAATGTCTAAATTCCTGAGATGGGATTAGGTAATGCAGTGTCTCAATTCCTGAGATGGGAATAAGCTGTGGTGTCTAAATTACTGAGATGGAATTGGATAATAAAATGTCTGAATTCCTGATCTGGTATTGGATAATAGTGTCTCACTTCCTGAGATGGAATTGGGCAATAACGTGTCTGAATTCCTGATGTGGCATTGGACAATAGTGTCTGAATTCCTGAGATGGGATTGGGTAATAATGTCTCAATTCCTGAGATGGGATTGGGTAGTAAAGTGTCTGAATTTCTGAGATAGGATTGGATAATAAAGTGTCTGAATTCCTGAGATAGGATTGGGTAATAAAGTGTCTGAATTCCTGAGATAGGATTGGGTAATAAAGTGTCTGAATTCCTGATCTGGTACTGGACAATAATGTCTCAAATTCCTGAGATGGGATTCGGTAATAGAATGTCTCAATTCCTAAACTGGTATTAAGTAATAGTGTTTCAATTCATGAGCTGGGATTGGCTAGTTGTCCCATTTCCTGAGCTACAATTGGAATATATAATAAACAAAAATAAACAAAACCATATTAAATACAACTTTAAACACAAAAAAATAAATACAACCATTTTAACCATTTCCAAGCCTCTCCTTATGGATTTGAACCAATCTATGGGATGGCTTTGAGCAGTGAGGAGAAGTTTATATCCTAACCTGTGTTGTTCTAACCAGCTCTTAAGTTATCAATGTTTTTGAGAACAAAAAAAGTCGTTACTTTTTTTGCTATTTATGTTTATTTGCATTTATTATAATGTTGTGTGTTTTTAGCGGTTAAAACACAGTTTTTGCTGAGAAATGTGCTTATAAACAATTTGCTGAAGTGTATATGACTTTTGCACTAGCACTGTGTATTGTACATATTCATTTAAAATTAAGATTATCACACCTTGGCAGGTTTAGACCAGTGGCATAGCCAGTTACATTTCCAGGGGCCTTGTTACAGGTTGGGGAGCCATTATGTCTTATAGACACCACCATCTAGCTTACTTCACCATGGATAAGTCTTTAGAACATTGCCCACCTATTATAATAACTAGAGAGTTAAAAATGGAAAACACAGCTTGAGTATTGATGTTGCTTTTAACTGCCTAGTTACTACATAACAACTGACAACACTCCACAGAAGGTATTGGCTAGCTTCCTTTTATAGCAATAGTGTGGCTTGGCCAAACGGTTGAAACCTGGTGATTTTCTCATTGTTTATTTATTTATTTTTTTAATAATGTAGTATTTACCTGACAGTGTATGCCAATAATAGGTCATGATCAAAGCTTTGACAATGTTTATTACTTATTAAAAGCTCATGTCAATGATTAACATTTTGCAACATTTACTTTGGTAATAAAGGACATATCTATATTTTTTAAAGCAATTAGAAATCTGGGTGAGCCTGGCTTTAAAGTAAGTAGGCCCTCAGGTCTTAACTGTAGCTATGCCACTGGGCCTAAGTCAGGAATATAGGAAAGAGCTTCATTAGAGAGCGTCTTTAGAATGTTTCCATGATGCTGCATCAAAACCCATAGACAAGGTCACGGCACCAATGGGCAAACTCATTACAGACAAATCAATAGTCATTCTCCAGAAAAAAAAAAAAATAGCTCATTAAGTCTGAACGCTGGTCAAAATAGCTTAGAGCTGCTGTGAGGTACAGATAAGACTTTACAACTAATGAGAGGAGACACTAAAATGTATATATAGCAATGCTTAATGAGTCTGTTGACAAGGAACAAGTTTACGATGAGGAGAGGCCACAGCTGGAGCAGAAGAATCAACCATGGACTAGACTCTTCTTCAAAATTCTTCTTCAAGAAAATTATTATTCTTTAGAAAACATTCTCAGAATTTTATACATTTCTCGAAAGAAAAGTTCCACAAACAGGTCATAGGAGTTACAAGGAGTAATGGTTTAGATCGTCCCTTACGAAATGGGACAACCCTCAAATAAAAACTTCAGTAACAAGCTACTAGCTGCAGTGATAGCAGAGGAGGGTAAAGTTCAGCAACCTCGCTGCTGACTGTAGTTAAATTTAGGGAATCATATGCCTTCAAAGAGGGGGGAATGCAACAATTATTTATAATTGTCCACCTAATTCTTTGTTGATATGAAGCTGAAGTCAGCTATTTGCCAGCTTCTTGTTTGAATTTTCCCATTCCACCTTAAATGGAGCAGCAGGTCTGATACCTGAGGTGCCGCAACTTCTGCACCATTTTAGGTGGAAAGGGAAATTTAGCAACTGAGACATCGACATACTACTAGCAATTTTTTATGCTTGTTATAAAGAAAAGGACCATAATACATTGAAATGTTACTAAACTAAGATAATATAGAGGTTAGGGACTCAGCCCCCGTGACCGGAAGGTCGCTGGTTCGATCCCCAGAGCTGACAGTACGTGACTGAAGTGCCCTTCAGCAAGGCACCTAACCCCCAACTGCTCCCTGGGCTCTGTGGATAGGGCTGCCCACCACCCTGGGCAAGTGTGCTCACTGCCCCCTAGTGTGTGTATGCTCACTAGTGTGCATGTGGTGTTTCACTGCACGGATGGGTCAAATGCAGAGATGAAATTTTCCTGTTGTGGGACTAATAAGGGTCACTTAATTTTAATTTTTAATAGAGAAAATATTTACATTTATGGTATTCTTTGGACATTTGCACAGCCATCTTGCTGTTTTTTCCTTTTTTTCTAATAACACTCTGTTTGGAGTGAGTCTCTGAAAAACCTCCATTTGGAAGGCCATGTAGCCCTAACACTTCGCCCCACTCCTCTATCTCAACTATAGGGACACCCTACCTTTAGACGTGAACATGCAAAACAGAGGGGTAAGGGCTAGGTGGTGGGGGAAAAGGGGTGAAATGGGATTGGGCCTAAAACTGTGACTTTTAATGATGTAGACACTTTAGATGATGATGTACCTCGTTAACCATGTACTTGGTAAAGCAAGCAAGTTGCAAAGCCAATATGTTTTTTAAAGATGGAAGCAAACTGGATTTTCATCTTCTTCTGTGAGCAAAAAAGTCAGCATTTATTAATATGCTTTTACTATGTTTAAATGCTATTTTGTATTGTGGCAGTTGTACACAACCTTTTGATATGAAGCTGCACTTGCGCTGTCCATTTTATCTCAGCATGGCTGACTTGGTGCAGAGGTGTGAATTGTTTTACAGCAGGGGGCTCTCCCCCCTCCCCATTCACCCTGCATTGCTCACTAGCAGCTCAACACAACATTGCACACAAAGAGAGCCAAAATTAGTCCACGTTAATTTGCAGGAAAAATTCAAAATATTCAAAGTCAATATCCATTCTCCTGATGGAATGGCCGCAAAAAGAGGCCATGAGCTGGACAAAGCTAATTCCAATTGTGTCTTGTGCAATCAATGTTAAAAAGGATGGTTCTTCGAGAGGTTTCTTAGTAAAGAAAAAGTTTCTATATAGAACCATAAACACTCATGCTTAAATAGTTCTTTGCATGGTAAAAGGCTTCCTTAGATTTTTAGCCAAAAGCGCCTTCAAATCCTCCACTGAATTATGACCCTGAAGCTAGTTTTTGCATTTTAAAACAATTCAAATTAAAATGACTATTTATATCATTGGTCATTTTCTACTTCAACTACATGGTACATGGTCAAGTCAACCTGGCTGGAGACAACCTGCCCTCTTTTTATAAGACCTTCATGGCTCACTGCTCCTGACCCTCGCCGTGAGAGTGCAGTCCCACTCTGCCACATTAGCAATATATCAGCATCACGGCATAAAGCTGCCCAGCCCAGTAGCTGACAGCACTATGGGTCACTCTCGCGCTCTACCAGAAGTGTGAACCTCTCACTGTCGGCCCTGCGGGAGTCTGGACTTGCAGAGTTTCTGTCCAATCAATGTGCCAGAAACCTCTGATCAAAACAGATGACCAGCAGGCTCACTGTTGGTGAGAAAACAGTATTGAAGATCTTTCAGATTATTCTGGCTTCACTTTGCAGTCAGCAGATTTTGACCCCCAAAAAGTTCCATTCACAAAAAGAGTCAGAAACAGTGTTGCTCTTTATCAAAGGAGGAATATAAACATCAAAGCAGAAAACTGGCTTGATTTACAGTAAGCAGCATCTGGACTTTAGTGAAGTTCACGTTTCCAGTGTCCTAAGGATTTAAACAAGTCCACTATGACCTACAACGATTTCAGTTACTACTGGTCAGTGAGGTGGGCACAGATATGCCACACCATTTTTTCTAAATTGTAGCTGTTGTCTGTAGGTTTAAGATGTTTAGCA